CAGGCCAAGGAATACATGTTGCAGCCTTTTCTTTCCCAAGCTTTAGGCCAGCTGTGTGTCACCATGTCTGGCCAAGGGAAACTTGGCAGAGCATCCACTTCCTGCAGCCAGGAAGATGTCAACAAGCTCCTAAGGGAGAGGGAGATGGCTACAAAGACACGAACTTTGCCATGGTGGTAGCTTCCTATGAGAGTTTTTTGCTGGCCTTGCTGTCAAAGACACCCAGGGTCAACAGAACTCTTTTGCAGACTGCTGTCTTGAAGACCTTTGAGGGCACCAGTGTGGATGAAACGAAATATTTTAGCAGGCAACTGGCTTCTGCTTTGGTTGAATGCAGAAGTAAAAAAAGAGCACCACCAGTGGTGCCAAAACCCATCCTGCTGTCAAAAGGGTGATGGATGCCATGTCTAAATGGGATCACCTGGAGCCTTCCAGTCACCAAGTTGCTGCTCCCAAGCGTTCATTCTCCCAAGCTTCTTTGCCTGTGGCAGCGGCTGCTCAGTCTGCCAGCAGCAGCAAAGCTGAAGCTAGCAGCAGTAGCAAAGTGAATCCCTATGAGCTTTATGGAGTGAGCCCACTTTCCAAAAGGAGAGCCATGAAATCCCAAGTGTTTGCAGTGGATTATTCTTCTCAGGAGGGGAATGCCCCTCCTGTTGCAGACATGGAAGTAGCTCCTGAACACGAGAATGGAGACACTGCTGCTGTGCTTTTGCAATTCTTCGACCAGGAGAAGGGTGTCAAGCCCAATGTGTTCCTGGGGACAAAGGCTTTTTGCTGTACCAATTTGGCAATGAGGAGCAGTGTGAGTCAGATACTCCCAACCTGGCATTGCACATTGTTTCCAAACCGGTGAAAAGGCCAGCCTCTGCAGCTTTGAAGAAGCCTGCAGCATCCTTGGCCCTGGACGAGCCTGAGGCAGTTGCAGAACCTGCAGCCTCTGTGTCAAATGAGGTGCACCTGTATCTTGATAGTCAAAAGCTGCAGTGATGCTTATCAAAATGCAGAATGTCTGTTTGCAATGAAAAGTCTTTTGGCAGCTACCAAAATCTTTGGCAGAGAATGCACTAATGAAGAAACCAAGAAAAAGCTGTTGGAAATGATATTTGAAATGCACTGTTTCCAAAAGGAATGAAGTGCACAATCCTCAAACCTTGTGTTGTTCACCTAAAATCTTATCAAACTAGCTCATGGCCACAAACATGTATATATTTAACTTCATTTAACTTGTAAAATGAAAGCATTTCCAATTAAATTGTGGAAACCAGCCCAAGTTAAATTAACTTCATTTAACTTGGCCATTTAGTTGCAAATGCTTTCATTTTCCAAGTTAAATTAACTTCATTTAACTTACCATAAGTTAAATTAACTTCATTTAACTTACCAAAATGAAAGCATTTCCAATTAAATGTATAAGTTAAATGAAGTTAAATGGACCAAGTTAAATGAAGTTAAATGGTTGGTCTTTGTAGAAGCCCTAAATTATTTATATACCTCCTAATCCCAGGAGGTTTTTTTAACATATCAACCATTGATTATTGACCTCCTAGTTCAGGAGGTATTATTTTTTGTAGCTCCTGCCCAACAAGGAGCTTTATCATCCATCCCCACCCAGCAGCAAAGCAACACCTTTTTTTCAAGCTGAGATGGCTTTGGAAGATATGTGAGAAGATATTCAGTTCTCAGTATCTTTGGTCCCAGGCTCTGGCTTGGGCTCCTCATTGGGAGATTCCTCAACCTCATTGGCAGCCTCATTGGGAGCTTCAGGGGGGACGCCCCCCCCCATTGGGAACTTCTGCGGTGGCAGCAGCAGCTGGCGCAGGCACTTCTTCCGGTTTTGGCACAGCAGGAGAAGGGCCACCACCTCCTATGCATACATGAGCATTGACCATGAATATCTTATTTACCATAAACCTAGTGATTCATATTTTATTTCTCTATGTATGACCTTTAGCCTCTGTCTTTGTCCTGTTGTCAGAGAAGCTGCCTGGGAACAATGTGGACCAGAGGTGCAAAGCTTTGCATGTCAGTATGAAGAACTACTACAAGGAGTATGCCATTGATTCCCAAATGCCTTTGCTGAAGGCTTCCATGCTTTACAAAGACAAGAAAAAGTCTTCCAGTTCTACTTCTCCTAAGTTGAGAGCCAAAGCAGGAGAGGCAAAAGGCTTGATTTTGTTTTCTTTGTTGCAATGCACAGTATTGCTCAACAATGCAGATTCTTTTGAAGCTGCAGTCATCCAATGTGCCCAACATTTGCACAATTGCTACCAGCAATTGAGCCAGCAAGTGTTTGAACCAAGTGCTTTGCACAGAGAAGCTTTGAAGTTTGCTGCTTTGTATGTCACCTTGAACCAAATTTCTGTCCAGCAAGGTCGACAACTTTTCAAGGTTACCCCAAAACTACATTTGTTCTTGGAACTGCCATTTGACCCCAAAGCCTCCCCATCCACTGGGTGGACCTACAGAGATGAGGATTGGGGAGGGCAAATGTCAGAACTTGCTAGAAGGCGAGGAGGTAACCTCAGTTGCTTGGCTGTGGCACAAGGCATGTTCCATAAGTTTGCAGCCTTGCACCAGGTCCCTTCGCTTTGAGAAAAAAGGTGCTGCAGCTGCTGGGTTGGGATGGGGTAACAGGAGAAGTCTCCTTTGCAGGAGGCTTCCCCTTCAAACAGACAATATACAACTAATATGATAAAAATATACAATGCTCCTTCATGTAGGAGGCACCTCCTTTAGTGGAACAGGAGGTTTCACCAGATTAAACATTTCAGCTAAACATGTGTTTGACATGTTTTTCCCACCAATCATGAGCCATCAAAACCCCTTATTTAAGGGTTGTATGTTTTTAGCACCAAAACCCTCTATTTAAAGGACTATACCTTTTTTAAGGGACCAAAGACCTCTAATTAAGGGGTAAAGACCTTTTATTAAAGGATTAACCTTTAAATAGAGGTTGTTTTTAAAGGGCTTTACCTTAATTAGAGGGTTTTCCCTTAATTAGAGGTCTTTGGGCTCTCTGGGAACTTAATAGCGATGGCCTCCAACTTAGTAGCGATGGCCTCCAACCTAATAGCGATGGCCTCCAACTTAATAGCGATGGCCTCCAACTTAGTAGCGATGGCCTCCAACTTAGTAGCGATGGCCTCCAACTTAATAGCGATGGCCTCCAACTTAGTCGCGATGGCCTCCAACCTAATAGCGATGGCCTCCAACCTAAGAGCGATGGCCTCCAACCTAATAGCGATGGCCTCCAACCTAATAGCGA